TTTTTGATAGTGCCCTTTGAAGTACACATGTTTTTAATTTGGATGAAGTCCCAATTTATCTATTTTTTCTTTTATTCCTTGTACTTTTGTACATGTCCGAGAAACCATTGCCTAGCGCAAGGCCACAAAAATGGACTCCTCTGTTTTCTATAGTTTTAGCTCCTACGTTAATGTTTCTGATTTTCCTAAGGTATTATTGAGTATTTTCATATGATTAAACACTTCTCTTTCTTAGAAGTGGAGTTGCTATGTCAAAGATCGAATGTTTTTGAGACTTTTGATACATGTTCCAAAATTGCTCTTGTCCCTGTCATTTCCCTCTGCCCTCCCACCTGGCTTCCACTGTTCTGGTTCAGGCCTCTGCCATCTCTTGCCTTGCACGTTACAGCAGCCTTCTGTCTGTTCCTAATGGGCACTGCCCATGCAGCGTGATAAGTGTGGTGGCATGGTGATGACAGGTGCTGTGACAGAACAGAAGAGGGGCATCTAACCAGTCTGGTGATTTGGGGTGGAGGATGAAAAGGGGTTGAGGAAGACATCAAGGGAGACTTCCTGGAAGCAAACAGTGAGCTGACTCAGCAAGTGGAGTGGGCATTAGCAAAGCATGAACGTGGAGCATCAGCATCCTGGGCTGGGGAATGAGGAGCATGTGCAAGGTCCTGGAGCGGGGTGGGGCAGGGTGGCATGGTGGTCCAGAGAGATGGACATTGACTGCCACTTCTTGGCTGCATGTTCTTGGGGAGAGGGACTTGCTCTTCTGTGTTTTAGTTTTCCCATCTGTAAAATGGGGACATTAGTAACTAACTCCTAGGATGATTGCAGGACCAAATGAAGCCCCATATGTTGGGGTTCTGGTTGGGGTAGCCAGTCCCTGAGGAGAAGCAGGTGGAAGAGGTCAGCATTGGATCTGTTGATGTACAGAGGGAGCTATGTGTACACGTTTGGAGCTGAGGTAATAGAGATTTGGTTAAGGCTAGGGGATTGGGGGTCACCTGGGTGGCTCAGTCAGTTGACCGTCTGACTTTGGCTCAGGTCATGATCTCGCGGTTTGTGAGTTCAAGCCCCACATCAGGCTTACTGCTGTCAGCGCCAAGCCCGCTTTGGATCCTCTGTCCCCCTTTCTCTGCCCCTTCCCTGCTTGTGTTCCCTCAAACATAAAGAACCAAATCAATAAATACAGACAGACAAACAGACTGGGGGCTTGGATTCTGTTACCCAGGGTGCCGGCTGGGATAGTGGTGACAAGCTGGTCTCTAGACCACTTAGGTTTGGATTCTAGTTTCACTGATTATTGTGTAACCCTGAGCAAGTCATTTATTATCTTTGTGGCTTAGTTTTCCATCAGTAAAATGAGAATAGTAACAGTACATTGTTCATGGGATTGTTGTAAAGATTAAATGAGTTGATAATAAAGTGCTTAGAGAGTGCTTGACATATAATGCTCTTTTCCTGTTATCATTATTGTTTTTCTTTGTGATGGGAAAGAGGGGGAGGTAGGAGCTGGAGGGAGATGTGGAATTCAGAGAGGTCTGTGATGGTTTAGGAACAAGGTGGATTTGATTGCCTCTGCAGGGTCATGGGAAGTCCTGGAGTATAAATGAGAGATGGAGCCAGTGCTTGAGTCTTGGCCCTGGGGGCAGCAGCCACGGCGGGGAGAGGGTGATACGGCCAGTGGAATGAGCATAAAAGGAACAGGGGCTTTTATAGGAGGATGGAGGAATCATGATCTGGATGTGGCAATAAATAACAATAGCCATAACAATTACTTTTATTACTCTGGAAAGGGCAATGGGTAACAAGAAGAATGCCAGCTCTTTCTCCTTGGATCCATCCTTCACTTTGCAGCCACATGTTCATTCCAGCACGTGTCTCCCGAGTGCCTGAATGGGCCAGCTACAGGGCTGGGCACGGGGGGATGTGGGGATAAACACGACACACTCAGTGCCCCCCCTCACAGAGCCTGCCAGCTAAAGGGAGAGATAGACATTATATAATTGTGCGAGTTATTAATACAGATTGGATTGTGCCACTTCCCTAATTCCAGGATCATCATTTGTTCTCTACTGCTGTGGAATAAAATCCCAACTCGTGTGCATGGCTTGAAAGGCCTTGCAGGATTGGGCCCCCAAACCTGCTCCTGGCAGCTCTCCCAACCACTGCTTCTCCTCACCCAGGCTTCTAGCCCTCCCACCCCCCCACCCCCACCCCCCAGGACTGCTTGCTGGGCCTCAGACCAACTGCAGTATCTCCAAAGCCTCATGCCCTCTCTCCACCTGGCAGCTCCTAACGGGCCTCAGGGCCAGCACAACAAATGTGTCTTCCTTCGGGAGATCTTTCCCAGTCTCTGTCACTCCCAGCCATGTTGCCAAAGCACCTTGGACCTCTCTGGGTTGTAGCACTTGAAATATAGAATCAGAAGGGGCAGCATGGCTCTGGTGGGAGGAGGTCAGGGTGAAGGCTCCAGTTAGGAATGGGTCACAGGAGGAGATTGTGCCGGGGGAGTGGGCATGCCTGCAGACAGGAAGGGCACCTGTGGCTCAGGGGCAGCCTCGAGGGCCTGGCTTGAGTGGAGGGGCCAGTTGCCTCTCATTAGGAGTAGTATGGAAAGGCTGGGTTCTGGCAGTAGGCAGTGTGTTCAGGGTGTCCGTATTCTGAGAGTTTCTTCATGGAAATGCCTATCTAGGGGAAGGGTCATCCCTACCTGAGTTGGTGAAGCCAAGGGAACCTGTAAAACCTGGTGGAGCAGAATGGAGTTTCACATCCAGCTTTGGGAGGGGGCAGGTCAGAGGCCCAGGAGAGGCTGTTTGAACCTTGTCCAACTGGGAATGCGCCAGTGCCACTGGTGGGGGCTGGCCTTAACTTCAGGAGGCCACCAGGGGGTGTGACATCCCTTGGCTGCCCTCTCTGTATTTGAGATAAATGCCAAGGCCCTTTGCTGGTGTCTTGGTGGTGGCCTAGGAGGGGACCGCTATAGGCTGGGGGAGGGGAGCCTATGCTCAGACAGTTGCACAGAGGTAAGGGGGCCTCCCTGGGGCAGGTCTCAGACATCTAGTTCCTGGGTCTCAGAGATTCAAAGGCATATCCAAATGGGTGGCTGTTGATTGCTACCCCTGAGACTGCTCTAGCCTGAGCTTCATGGGGAGTCATCCCCAGGAAGTCCTCCCCAGATATGGCTTCTCCACCAGAAGGGCCAGGGCAGTCGAAGAGCTGCCCTGGCAGGGGGTGGGGACACCAGGCTGGGAAAGGTGGTGAGAATTTCTGGAGTGGCCTGGTGTAGGACCTTCTCCCTCATCAGAGGTCAGGCCAGCATCAGGGGAGCCTGGGAGCGCTGGCAGGCATCAGAAGGGACTGAGGCGCTGGCAGCTCCTGCTCCAGGCTGAGTTGCGACCCAGCCTGGGATCCCCATGGGGGCGGGTAGTTAATCTCTGAAGGCCAGAGTCACCACTGCTGGAGAGCAGGCACATTGAACTTTTCAATCACATTAATTTCCACAGGAAATTGTTGTCTTCCTTTTGTCCAAAGGTTAGTGATTTATATTTACCATTCTCTTAACTAGCCTTGAAATTTACTGTTGCCAGGTCACCGCTGGCATCCATAAATCTCGAGGTGGCAGCTGAGTATTGCCAAGTAGCTTGATACTTGGAAGGGCACACCCTGGCCCTTTTGGGAGGGCAGATAACTAGTAACAGACAGTCCCCGCACGAAAGTCCCCCTGACTGCGTGGGTGCTGGCTTGGCAGGGGGAATGAGATGAGGTCTGACCAACAAGGTTGCAGGGAGGCCTCTTTGAAAGCAGCCGTAGAAGAAACAGCTGGCTTTGTGCCTTAGCATATCACCGAAGGAGACCTGCTTCTAGTTGTGGGTGGTGCTCGTGGCACAGGAGGTCTCAAGTGGCTTAGTTAGGATGGGGAGCAAGGGCCAAATTGCCAGCTCTGTACTTCCAGTGTGACCTTAGTGTACTTCCAGTGTGACCTTAGACCAGTAACTTAAGCACTCTGTGCCTCAGTTTCCTCATCTGCAATAATATTCCTCCTAGTGTTGTTAGGAGGGTTACATCTCAATAAATATTCGCGATTATTATTCTCTGGCAGGACAGGATGCGTGGATTGGCATGGGCCCTCAGAGTCAGTCTGCTTCACCTCCCTGTTGGTGCTGTCCTAGCCATTTCTCCTTTTAAGATCCTCTTCTTCCTGGGGCTCCTGGGTGGCTCAGTCAGTTAAATGTTTGACTCTTGATCTTAGCTCAGGTCTTGAGCTCAAGAGGTTGTGAGTTCAAGCTCCGTGTTGGGCGTGAACTGTACTTAAAAAATCCTCTTCTTCCATGTGCTCGTGAAACTAGAACAGGGCTGACAAACTTTTTCTGTAAAGGACCAGTAAGTATTTTAGGCTTTGTGAACCACACGATCTCTGTTGCAACTACTCAGCTCTGCTGTTTTAGGAAGAAAGCAGCTACATACACTAAGTAAATGAGTATGGCTGTGTTCCAATAAAACTTTATTGTGGACAGTCAAATTTGAATTTCATATAAGTCATATGTCACAAAATACGATTCTCTTTTTATTTTTTAAACTATTTAAAAATATAACAACAATCATTTTTAGCCTGCGGTTCATATAAAAACAGACCACGTGTCACAGTTGGCCCATGACTTGTAATTTGCTGACATCTGGATTAGAAGGTGAAATTGCATGGAGAAAGTCCTCACTTACTTTTCTCACCTGGGCTATGTCTTTGAGTTACTAAAGAAAGGTGCCCTCTTGTGGGTTTTTCCAGTGACCCTGTAGTGCCTCCTAAGAGGCTTAAATGCCACTTGAGGCAGGACAGAGGAGCGAGCCCCGTGGGAATCAGAGGCCCAGGGGCTGGCAGGATGCCTAGGTCTGGCATCTGTTGGTTCCCTGCCTACAGCTAGAGTGGTGCTGGCTCCGGACTGGCCAGTCACCCTCACCCCACATGACAGCTCTGGTGCTGACAGTCCCACTGTATCTGTGTTTCAGAGAACAGCCCCAACCAAGGCGGGAAGGAGGTGGGGACACGACAGCCTTTGGTGATTCTCTTGGGCTGGGGTGGCTGCACCGACAAGAACCTTGCCAAGTACAGCGCCATCTACCACAAAAGGGTGAGTACTGCAGGCTTGAGGACACCCAGCTCATTGGGGCGCTGCCCCCTGTGGCCCCTCTGTGGGGAACTCAGCCTTGGCCGTCCTCATCCCTGGGCTGCAGTGTGGCAGGCCTGGGAGTGGCACGAAGAACAACCTGTGAGGAAGATGTTGGGGTCATGGGCATTTTGGCAGGATTATCCCTTCTTGATGCTGCTGGCTCTGTTGCCTGGTCTGTCCCCCTCAGCCCCCTGACCTGCTTTCCCTTCCTCCTCCTCAAACCCCACAGCAGCCCAGCCCTGATGTGCTCCCAGCTGTGGAGTCAGCCCAGACCTCAAGTCTGTTGTTGCCCTGATGGGCAGCAAAAGCCTGGGCCAAGTGTGCTGGGAATTTTCTCCTTTTCTGACCAGGTGAGTTTCTGTCTTAGGTTGACCATGGACCTTCACATTCCCATAGTAGAAGGGCCTCTTGGAAAAGTGATTCAGGCTGGAGGTTCTTGCTTCTTCTTAAGCTACCCCAAGAGTTGGATATAGAGCTTCTGGTAATTGGAGAGAGGCTTAGGAGGGCTGGGTTATGTTTTGGAAGCCCCTTTCACATCTTTGGCTTCTGGCCTGGCCCTGTCTTCCTCGGCCCAGACCTCCCAAAGCAGGGAGACACCAGTGCGGACAGCCCTAGGTGCCACCTGGAAGCCCTGGGCTGAGGAGTGGGGAATCTCCTGGGAGAAAGGCCAGGCAGTACCCTCTGCCCCCTGCCTCAGCCTCTCTCCACTGACCTTTGTCTGCACTGTGCATGAAGTAGATGGTGGCCCTGGAATGGGAGAAGGGTTGGGGGAAACATGTAGTTCTGAGCTTGAGGCCTTCCCCCACCAACAAGGCTGGTCCTCAGGCATTGCTGTTTATGAATGGCCTTGCTCTGTGGGTAGTTTTAGCGACTTCTGAATTCCACTCACTGGGCCAGGCTGGTTTGTCTGGCTTCTCCAGTGGACTAAGATCCCTGAGGGCAGGTGGAAGAATAGGAATAGGTGAGCGTGGCCAGAACAGAGAATGAAAGAAAGGGCAGGTGTCAAGAGACAGGCTGGGAGGGTCCTGGGGGGATTTAAGCAGAGGGGTGATGTTAGATCCCAGGGAAGGCAGTGGGGTTGAGTTGGCAAGCTGGTGGAGGGGTTGTCTGGGAAAGGGGGTCAGGACAGGATGGGTATGGAGAAAAAGATTTTCCAAACCCATACTTCTAATACTTTATTATTTAAAAGAAAAGAAAAATACTGCATCTACACATAGAGATGACCTTTATCTGCTCATTAGTGCCCATCCTTTCAGCTTTTCTCTGTATCTTTTCTTTACCTAAACCGCATCTGTTGACTACACTATTTTGCATCTTGCCTTTTTTCAGATCATGATCCCCACCTTCCCATGTTAATCTGTTTTTATCTCTTCTAGTTCCCAGTCTGTATTCAGGTTCTTCCGCAGTCCCCAGAATGTCTTTTATAGCTGATTTGCCCAAACGAGGATCCAATCCAGGATCACCCATGGCATCTAGTTATTTTGTTCCTTAAGGCTCTTTTATTTTTTTAAAGGTCCTATTTAATTAATTAACTTTTTTAGAGAGAGAGAGCACGAGTAGGGGAGAGGGGCAGAGAGAGAGAGAGAGAGAGAGAGAGAGAGAGAGAATCCTAAGCAGGCTCCATGCTGAGCATGGAGCACCATGTGGGGCTTGATCTCATGATCCTGGCATCATGATCTGAGCTGAAATCAAGAGCTGGACACTCAACTGACTGATCCACCCAAGCGCTCCTTATTTTATTTTTTAAGATTTTATTTTTAAGTAATTTCTACACCTAATGTGGGGTGAGTGCGAGATCCCGAAGGTGCTGGAAGGAAAGTACGATGGGCGCTAAAAGCTATCATGGGGTTTGACCATTTGGGAGAACATGGGTGACCTTCGTGAGAGTAGTGTAGGGGAGCCAGTGGGAAGGGGTGAAGCGGAGAGGGAAGGTGTCTAAGACCGTCTAGGAAGGTGGAGAGAGAGGGTGGGTTAGAGTTAGAGGGGGACACAATTAAACTGCAGAGAATTTTTTTTTTTCTTATTTTTTTTTTTTTTTTTTTTTTTTTAAACGAGGTTGGTTTGCTAGGAATCTAGAGAGAAGAGACTGAAAATACAGGCGAGGGAGGCAGGGACCCTCAGTAAGGCCCTGGGGCCGAGTGTGCACAGAGATGGAGAAATGCTTGGCTGGAGGGGCGGGGGGACACTGGGATCTGATGTGCAGGGACTTCTAGGAGCATCTGATTGGGGAGTTGGCAGCAGAGATGCCAGGCACCTGGGAAGCCTCGAAGTGAGGCCCAGACCCACGAGCAGGGAAGCTTGGCATGTCATGCCCTTCACGGGGGGTGGAGGTTGTGTGCGCTGTGTGTGTGCTCACAGGTGACATGCAGTTGGAGGGCACATGCTGTGCGTGTCCTCGTAGATGGCGTGTTCATAGGAGTTGCTGTTTGTTTCTGCACCACCAGGTGGTTCTGCATGTGAAGCCTCCAGCAGGGGAGTGTGTGTGTGTGTGTGTGTGTGTGTGTGTATACTCTTGAAGAGAGTGCAGCAGGCAAGTGTGTCCCCGCCAGTGGTGTGGGTGCTTGTGGGTGTGTACAGCTGGCTATTGCTTTTTTGTGCACTCATAGATGGTATGGTAGGTGCACGTGAGTGAGTGGTGGGTGCCGCGTGTGTCTGCCTCTGTGGGATGGCAATGTGGGTGGGCTTTGTTTAGTCCTAGGAGTTGCACATGTGTGGTGGTGTGATGTGGGAGTGTGTTTGCATTTGTGGGCAATGCTGTGTGTCGCATAGGGGGGAAGACGTTTCACATCCCACTGGGAAGTCAGAACAGAGAGAGCACTTTGTGAAGTTTCCCAGAGCCTGAGGGGGCAGGTGGCATTGGTGACCCCCTCTGCAGAGTCTCAGGAAGGGGGCTTAGGCATGCCAGGGCCTTGGTAAGAACAGTGCCAGGAGGAGTTGGGGCAGATGTCAGATTGGAGTCAGCGGGAGGGGTGAAGTTAGGGGGCTAATGGCAGGATTATTTCAGCCGACCATTGCGTTGAGCTATAGGTCATTCAAGTACTGTGGCCGTATGATGTTCTCATGAGCCCTCCTACCGTTACTGATTGCTGCTACTGTTTACTTTGTGCCAGGTGCTGTTTTGGGCACTTGAGATGCATTTTGTCATTCAATCTTCATAGTCCTGTGAGATGGATGTCATCCTAGTTTACAGTTGGAAACACAGACTTGGGAAGATGAAGGAGACTTCTTTTCGCTTGTGCTGTTAAGAAGTGGTGCCAGGAATTGAACCCAGACCTGTATGACCCCAGAGCCCACCTAACAGATTCCCCTGACAAAGGGCCCTTTGTCTCTGGAACAGGACAACGAGAGGGGATTAGGATGCAGGCTCATGGCTTTGGCTGCCTTTTCTAACTGACCTAGAAGAGGATCTATCTGGAGATTTTGAGGCATACTTGACTCAGGCGTTGCGAGGTACAGAAGCCTAAGAGTTTGGCTCAGATTTTAGAATTTGAGGAACAACAGTGTTTACTATATTTGGAATTTCAGGGCGAGTGGGAGGAGTGATTCCGGGCCTTGGAACCAGATAGATTTGGGTGCCAGGCTCCTGTGCCAGAGAGTATGGACTCTGCTCTCAAGGCCCTGCTGGAAGGTGGCAGTGGCCAGAGACTGACACGATGCGGGGTCTAGCTCACGAGTGGCCTCTGGTGGTCAAGACTGGGACCTGCAGGCCATAGCTCCTGTGTTCGGTCTTTATGGGGTGGGGTGTCGGATGGTCCTCCTTGGGTCTGGGAGCGTGGGGATAGTGCTGAGCTGAGTCACTGCAGCAAGGTGTAGCCAAGCAGTGAGGCCATAAATATGTCAGAGTTGAGCAGATGAGGGTGTAAGGGGGAGGTTGGGAGGGAGACAGGGTGTGGGCCGGAGTGAGACTTTCTTTTGGTCAGCTTAGATATCTCCAAAGCGAGCTCCAAGCCTCACGTACCGTGCCAGGCTGAGTGGCCTTGGCCAGCATGAAGTGATTATTCCATAAATGGGCCTTGAGTGTACCTTCCACTCTGGAAGGCACCCGCATCTGTGAATGGTGAGCTGGTGCCTGGACACTGCTAGGCCTGTGGGCCTCTGGCATTTGGAGCTTCTGGACATCTCTGACCTAGCGGTACTCCCCTACCCCTACCCCCATCCCCGAGGACCGACCAGGCCTCTCTCCTCTCCCCAGGGCTGCATCGTGATCCGATACACAGCCCCATGGCACATGGTCTTCTTCTCCGAGTCCCTGGGCATCCCTTCACTTCGTGTTTTGGCCCAGAAGCTACTTGAGCTACTCTTTGATTACGAGATTGAGAAGGAGCCCCTGCTCTTCCATGTCTTCAGCAATGCTGGTGTCATGCTGTACCGATACGTGCTGGAGCTCCTGCAGACCCATCGGCGCTTCTGCCACCTGCGTGTGGTGGGCACCATCTTTGACAGCGGTCCTGGTGATAGCAACCTGGTGGGGGCTCTGCGGGCCCTGGCAGCCATCCTGGAGCACCGGCCTGCTGTGCTGCGCCTGCTGCTCCTGGTGGCCTTCGCCCTGGTGGCAATCCTGTTCCATGTCCTGCTCGCTCCACTCACTGCCCTCTTCCACACCCACTTCTATGACAGGCTACTCGATGCAGCCTCTCGCTGGCCTGAGCTCTACCTCTACTCGAGGGCCGACGAGGTGGTCCTGGCCAGGGATGTGGAACGCATGGTGGAGGCACGCCTGGCACACCGGGTCCTGGTGCGCTCTGTGGACTTTGTGTCATCTGCACATGTCAGCCACCTCCGCGACTACCCTGCTTACTACACAAGCCTCTGTGTCAACTTCATGCGCAGCTGTGTCCACTGCTGAGCTCCTTCCCCACCCAACACCCACCCAACTTACCTCTACTCCAGAAATAAATGCCTGACACCTCCCCACAACCTATATCCACGAGTGGGGTCCTCTTCTGCTTCACCTCCCTTACAGCCCTCTGGGACTTTGTGGTCCCGCAAATAGAGAATTCCCATTGAATTTTAGCAGCCTCTACCCCAGGGACTGTGGTGGTCTGTTTATCCCAGGATCCTGGTGGGTGGGAGTGCCTGGACAGGTCTCTGTAGGAGTCTTGCAGCGGCTGTGTTTGGACAAGTGCAAGTGAGACTGCTAATTTCTGTGGCAGTTAGGCTGTGTAGGGTGGGATTGCTGATGAACCCCAGGGTTGATCTTTAACTTCTTGAAGGGAAGGTGAGCTTTGTGGGAGGTGCCGGAAAGGAGGGTCAGGCCAGGGCAGGGGCTATGATTTCTGCCCCAAGGCCCCAGAAGGGCAAAGCCCTGCAGCATGAAGCACCATCCGCCTAGATCCACTTAATAGTTCACCGAGAGGCTTCTCTGTGCTCACTGCCGGGGAGCCTGAGCCAGATGGGGAGCTGAGGATGCAGAGGTGGCAGGCCTGCCTGGGTCCGTCACACTGCCAGGAAGCCACTGGTTCAGGAAAGCTGCAAGGTGTGTAACAGGCAGGTGGAGCAGGGAGCAGGAAGACAGTAGCACCATACAGGAGCTGGGACAAACTCAGTAGCCCTGAAGATCAGGGCTGGGGGCCATTTGACTAAAACAATCAACTCCATCTTCTTGAGAGATGCACTTGGATCATCTCCAGGCAGGAGAGGCAGCTTCAGCCTTAGAGTTCTGTATCATCTCTCATTCTATAAGTCACTGCTGCACAATGCTGGCACGTAGTAGGTACTCAGTAAATATCTGTTGATTGGATGAGCTTGCTGTGGTGTTCAAGGGACTTGGTGGGGCAGGAATGGGCTTTGATAATTTGACAGTGAAGGAGATGGCTGGCCAAGTTCTGGGTGGCAGCTAACCCTTGATATTCTCAGGGCTGATGGACTCTGTCTCAAGAGCTGAGCTCAATCTGCATCTGTCAGCTCTCTGGGACCTCTGGGACAGTTGCCTCCAATCCCGGTGCTGTGTGGTTGCATTCCTAGCCATGGCCAACAGGTGGCAGTGCTGCCTGGGCCATGAGACCAAGCTTAAGGATCCCGTGGCAGAGTGGGCTTCGTGCCCTCGTGCAGGGTTAACGTCCCCTATTTGAAAGCATATGGCCCCTAGGGTGAGAGTAACCAGCCATCAGGGACCTGCTGAGTCCAAGACAAGGAGAGGGGAGAGTTGAGACCTGAAAGCAGCCAGCCCGAGGTGAACTGGACATTATCCACCTCTCTTCCAAAAGCAGCCATTACTGGGGCCGCCCTGCTTTGGCAGGACACCTACATTCCCCGGAATCTTGGGCCCCAGGTTTCTCCTATTTAGGATACTCGATGCCATCAAGCTGGGCACAGGTCTTTGCAGGGCCTTCACTAGGCTCTAACCAAGAGGCAGGAGCTGCCAACTGGATCCTATTCTGTAGTACATGCATCGCAGGCACCCAGAGATCGGTGTCTAAGGTGGAGAATTTGGAAAGGTGGACGACGGGCCTGGTGTGTGAGAATGTGTAAAGGAAAGGACTCATCTGCAGTTGTGAGCACCTGCCAGAGCACCCAGGATGTGGATTACTCACTGGCAGTGGGTAGCCTTGGGGATGATTTGATAGAGTGCAATCTCCGGTGCTAGCTGGCCAGCTTCAGTTCCCTGACATGAAGGTCCACCTTGGATAACTGGGGTTTCTACGGTAGCTATTTGAGAATCTAGGGAGTAGCTATACTGGGGTGTTGGTCACTAGAAAAAAGGTCGCAGAGACCAAGATGCTTGTTCCATTTGGTCCCTGGCTCATTTCTGGGCATTAGAAAGGTATAGAGGCTTGAGGCTTGTCTTTACCCAAGCTTATAGCTGCTTCTGCTCTAGATTGGGGGATAGAGCTTGCGTCCCCTCTGTACCCCCAAGCTCTGACCTCTTCTGTGATTAATGAGCTGACGATTCTGCATCGATAAGGAATTAACCTGGAGCCCCTACCCATCAATAGTCAGGAGTCCAGGTCCCCAGCTCCACCCCCACCCCTGATGGGAGTGCTTCAGGCCCCCCACCCCCAGTGGACCAACCCTGCACTGCTTCTGCTTCACAGGGACATCCAAGTCCTCTTCCCCACACTGCTGCCAGGAATTAACTCCTTAACTGCCTCTGTCCATACCACCCCATCACCTACCCCTTCCTGCACACATACACACAGGCAGCAGCTGTTTATATTGGTTTAATCCATGTCAAATGTAGTTTACAAAGGGAAAGGACAAGTACCTTTGTATAGAATATACAGACACAGCATCACACCGTGGGGCCCACGGGAGGGGCGGGGGAGACCACTTTCCCTGGGAACAGCAGTTCTAATCCCAGGAATGGTTCTTGGTAGAAGGCTGGGCAGCCAGGAGCATACTCATCCAGCCCCAATCTCAGCCCCTGCTTCAGCTCGGTTCCCATTTCCTGTGTCTCCCCTCTCCCCCAACTCCTTATAAAGAGCCCCAGGAGCTAAGACTAAGGAGAGGATCGTGTCCCTTGAGGCATGTGCCCCATGTCTGGGGGAAGAAATATACACCACTGAACACCGAGCACGTGGGAGAGGGAAGGGATACCATGGGAGAGAGAGAGGCAGGCACCCTGAGAGGTGGATGGGCCGAGCCCCCAGCCAGCCCTGAAGGGGGCACTGCTTCCAGGTGTTCTTAAAAAAAGAAGAAAATCATACAACCAAAGGGGTGAGGGTGGAGTGGGGGGCGAGGGGTTGTCCCATTTATACACAACATTGTAAACATACACAGTCTATATTACATGTGCTTCAGTCTGGTGTTTGCATGTCTGTCTGTCCGTCTGTCAGTCCGGGGGCTGTATCTCAGGAGCCTTGCCCAACTATTCCCCCTCACTCCCACCTCCTTGCCCCACCTTGGGAACAAAACCCCGAACAGGTATGGTCCTTAGTTTTGGTGGGAACCAGCAGGCAAGGCCTGGGTCTCAGCCTCCACTCTGGCTCCAGAGTCGTGTGTGTGTGCGTGTGTGTGTGTGTGTGTGTGTGTGTGTGTGTGTGTGTATGTGTGTGTGTGTGTGTGTGTGTGCACGCACACGAATGTGCACGTGTGTGTGCGCATGTATGTACATGGGGAACCTGTGTGCAAATATGTACAAGGGGGAGGGTCACGTCACAGAGGCGGGCAGGTGGGGCTGCTCCAGGCAAGGCCTGCTGGGGGTGGCTAGCTCACAAGTAGATTCTCCGCAGGTCTCCGGGCGCTGTGATGGTGTTGCACTGAGGGCAGAGCTTCTTGGCACCCTGCAGGGAGAACAGGCAGGGCTCTGGTTATGCACACTATGCTGCATACTTGCTCATGAGAGCACCTGGGCCCACAGCCATGTCCCCCTGCACCAGTTGTATGCTGGCACCTTGGTCCTGTCAGCCCAGGCTGGGGATGCATGGGCAGCCTCTGCAAGCAGGCAGGCATACTCCTGTGTTGGGGGGACGCCAGGATCAAACCGCCTGGCCAGCCCCGCAGCGGGAGCCCCGGTAATGAGAACAAGGCTGGGTCCAGCTGTGGCTGCCTCGGCCCTAACGAGATTACATGCGGCCTTTGATCAGGACACAGAGCCCACGTCCGGGCCTTTTATTGCTGTCTCCGGGCGACATTTTAATGGCTGCTCCCGAGCGAAGAACAGGGGCAGGAGCAGAAGGAGCTTAGTAATGGCAGGGGGAGGGGCTGAGGCCCTAGTCCTGCTTATCCACACCCAGCCTCCTCCTGACCTGGGATCACACCAATACGTGTGATACAGTGGGCCTTGGGGGTGGGCAGAGCAGGCAGTGAACCCATGGAGGGAGAGAATTTAATAAAGCTGGTGGTGGAGACAAGAATGGGGGGAGTTTGGGGGGGGGGGGGGTGAACATCCTGGTTTCCCGCTGCTGTGTTTGATGCTCGTGCTCTCCCCTGCCCTTGCACCTCCCTCCCCTCAAGCAGGCTCAAGCATAAGCATGGACATGTGGGTAGCACCGGAAGTAGCCACCCACTCCCCAACCCCCATGCCACCTCACCAGGGTCCGCAGCCAGCACTCCTCGCAGTGCACATGCCAACACTGGATGGACGTTAGGGGCATCGAGTATGAGTCCTAGGGAGGAGGTGGGCAGAGAAGGGGGGGTCACTCTGAGGCTGGTCTACCCTCTAAAGAGCTCAGATCACAGTGCAGAGGCCCTTTCCAACCCCCAGAGGGCACTGAAGCCTGACCAAAGGCATCCCAGGTTCCCTTTCTCTCACCATACAGATGAGGCATTTGTAACGGTCCCCACGGGATAGCTGCCGTTCAAGTTCCCTGACCCGAGCCTTCAGGGCCTCAAACGTGGTCACAGCTGAATCTTCGGTGATTCTGTGAAGAGGACAGCATGGTTGGGCAGGCAGCAGGCTGACATCTCTAATCTGAACCTCCAGCCCACACCGCCCTTAAATTCTAGAACTGCATATATAAATGTCTCCCGGATATCCCCGCCCCCCACCTGCCCATATCCTATATTTGTAAACTCCATCTTCTGGAATTGAACTCATCCTCCTTGTTCTTCCACCTCCATCCTGGTCAATTTCCAAACCAGATACGTAGGAACCATTCTCAAACCATTGCTTCCCAGTCACCCTCGGCGCCCACAATCTGTCATCTAGCTCCTAGCATCTGTAGTCTCTCCACCGCTACCACTAGTCCAGGCCCTCATGATTTCTCCTACGATCCCTCCACTGACCTGAATGGCCCCTCTGCCTCCAGATTCCTCATTCCATTCTCCCAGCACCTAGAATTTTGCAAATTTGACTGTTTCTACTTCTAACATCTCAATGTTTCCCTCAGAATAAAGCTCTACTAAACTCCTCATAAACTGAGACCGGGGACTCCTTGGTCTAGCCCCGGCCTGCATCCTTCAGCACTGTGCCACACTTGATGCTCTATCCACACCAAACTATAAAGCCTCTCCACACGCTCCACCATTTTTCACTCCCTTGGCTTCCTGCGGCACTTTCTGCCTCCCCTGGGCCACCCTACCTCCTAACTCACCAGAAGCCTTTTCCAACCCTCCTGACAGCACCACTGCTGGTGGCTGCTCTTCTGTACTCTCTAGCACCCTGCACCGGACTCCACCACAGCAACACAACTGCAAACGTCCTTGTCTCCTGTACGAGGCGTAGTTTTCCAAGGGCAAGCTGCCCATGCCACCAATACTGACTACGAACATCAGCCCCCTGGCAGGCACGTGAGTATGAGTAAATGTCTGTTGACCGAAAAGCCAGTCTCACTCCTGGAACAGTCAGAGATGTGGGGACTGCGTGAGTCCCACAGAATCCAGTCCTGGGCCACAGGCCTGCCTACCTCAAGGGCTCCTTGTTGTTTCTTCCTGGGCAGGCACATCAGATGGCCTGAGAGTCCTCGCCTGCTGTTCAAGTCCTGCCCGTGAAGGTCCCCTGTAACTTCTTGAAGACTCTTTGGGCTGCAGTACTGAACTAGCTAGTGAATAGCTAGGACTATCCTGAGGACTGATCCCTCCTACCCCTCCTAAAACAAGTGGACAGAACCCAGAGGAGCTCACCGAGGGAGAAGAATGCTTCTTGGAGAAGACGCTACTAGAGATGGGCGTTAGGGAATAACAATGATGGTAATGCAAATAAAAGAGCCAACATTTATTAAGTGCCTACTAAATGCCAGGGCCTGTACTGAGGGATTGAAAATTATTATTTTATTTACACCTCACAAAACCCCATGAGGAGATTCGAATATTCCCATTTTACATATGAAGAAACTAAAGCAGCAAAGGAACATTAAATAGCTTGCTTATGGTTCACACAGAATGGGGGAGGTGGGATTCAAACCCCAAAGACAGATGCTGTGATCAACCAAGAACTACATGACTAACATTACAACACTGGAAATACCCAGGAGGAGCTGGGTCTCCAGGTCTAGGGACCAGTAGGAACACAGGCTAAGAGGCCCAAGAGACCCACGTGGCTGTTTAAGGTTTACCTGTGGGTAAGTAGACAATGCTAAAGTGGGCAAGGAGATTCTATCAGAAAAGACTTCAGAGGCACAATCAGAAAGTGAAGTTTATCTCACAGGCAATGGGAAGTTGCTGGGTGTGTTGGAGGAGGGCTGTGACAGGGTAAGAGCTGAAGAGCTGAGGCTACAAGATGTATTCAATCAGGAGAAAGAGCGGACTGAGGGGGAATTGTAAGTGTGGTGCAGTGTGGCAGAGATGTTCTCCTAGGGTGACCTGTCCTGCTAGCTTGGAGCAGATCATCGGTTCAGAAAGCCTGAAAGCTTACAGGTGGTCTTTCCCTGCTGGGCATAAGTGGTACTGGGGGGCACAGGGAGGATGGTGGGTAACATTCCACGGGCAACAACAGACTTTGATCTCTGACCTTTCTCTCTTAGGGCAGAAACACAGAATTTGAATTCGAATTTCTTAGCAGAAACACAGAATATGACTTCTTGATGGCTGTGTCCCTATACCAGAGATGCCCTAGATCTATTATCCATAGGTCTGTGACTCCCTCTCTGCCCTACGTCTCTCCAGGGAAGCTGCAAAGGGCTTGACTCCATTTCCTCTGGCATTGGCTGATTCTCTGGAAGTGTCCATTCAACTTTCCAGATCTGGAAGCCTTCACCACCCCCTCCACCCTTATACTATCACCAGCACAGCTGGCTCTTCCCCTGGCATTTTGCCCAATGCCATATGTGCCACCCCATCTGCTGGTAAATTCTTGACAAGGAGACAAGGATGGGTAGCTGTGCTCTCTTTCTCTCCCAACGACCATGCTGGGCATTTGCCTAGTCCTATGTAGTTATTTTGAAAATTGGGAAACAAAGGCCTGGAGTTGGGGGCACAGGGCTACCCCAGAGCTGAGCACTCTCAAACCCCAAATCAGAGGAGTTAGATATAGAAAGCAAACAGGATGGGGCCAAGAGAGAATGAAGCCATCTCCCCCTTTATATCCAAAAGCTCCAAGGCCACATCCAACTCCAGAGCCCACCTTATTGTGGATTTGCTCAGCATACACCTGACCTCTAATCTCTGCTCTGGTGTAATACCCAATTCTCTAGCTCCTGATCCAGGCTGCTTCTGAGTTATTCCTGAGACCCTCCAAGGCATGGAGTGGAGAATTTCCTGGAAGAAACTATGGCATCCTACCTTCCTGCTTCCCCTAGGTGGTGAATAAGATCTAGGACAGGAACCTATGTTGTATACGAGGAAGAGAGAAGCCATAGGGACTGAAGGGTCCCAATCTGGGCAGATCCAGACCCAGTGGAGATCTCTGCATATGACTGAGTGTCTATGACGCATCCCAGAGAACCCTGCCTACTGGTTCCTGTGCTCACACAGGTGGGACAGAAGTCTCAACTTTCTCCAGCCTTGGGTGGGTAGTACCTTCATGGATGGCCACTAGCTCTGGCCCCCACCTCCCCCTCGGGCGCCATCCCTGATTAATGATCTTGTCTTTCTGATTTATGAGCAGCCCCTCCAGACGAGGGTGGGCGCCCCTTATGGCCCCGCCCGCCCCGCTCAGCTGGAGTAGGAGAGAATTATTAAATAAACATCCATACGTCATTCCTCCCCCCACCCCCGCCCCCCTATGCTGGTTGCGCCGAACCCGTGCGGCCCGCTCCAGCACTGACACGGAGCAGCTGCGGTGATTCATGGGCAGCCGGGCCCCGAGCCGCGGCCCATACATCATGCCAGCAGCACTCACGGCCCTGGCCGAGATAAACTGATCAACCACAACGGGCTGGAATGAATTTATGACAACACAAAATGGAGGGAAACAAATGGGAGGTGACCCTGGGCCACCGACCCAGCCCTGCACCGGCCTGCAATCCACTCTCCTGGCAGGAGGCAAGATGGAACACTGGCCCGGAATGAAGAGGCTGCCTTTTAACCCCAGGCAACCTAGCCTCCAGCAGAGAGAGGGGTGGGGTGCGGGGAGTTAAGCAATGGCCAACAGCAGCAACTCCAGGCAGCCAGAGCTGGACAATACCACCTCTTGGGGCCAGAACTGGCCTTGCATGGGCTTCTGGAAAGACAGTAAGATGCCCAACTGATTTGCTTGTGGCTCCTGGGGATCCGGGCCAGGGGCTGCCCAGCCCCATGTGAAGTGCTAACAGATCCCCTTTTCCCCTGCCAGAGAACCCAGGCCAAAAATTCCTACCAGAAGTGATGAGACCCAATGCTCCTGCCTAAAACCCACTGCAAGCGCCACCCGGGACAAGAAAAATGAAACCAATTTAGCTCCCGATTAAGAAACAGAAACTGGAGATGAATCAAGTGCGCCGGCTGGGCTGGGCGGCCATACATCACATTCCCGGGCGGAGGCCGCCGCAGCGGGCAGGCAGGCAGGCGGACTACTCCTCCCTCCGCCAAGACTCCCAGGGCCGTGGCCCAGTGATCAATTCACAGAGTCATGCTTAGCACCAGCTGGGCCCCAATGCCCGTCGTGTGCCCAGGGCTGCAGGATTAAGTCGTGTTCTGGAGGCCAGGAGCCTTAGCAGCAGGCCTTCCTGCTAGCAAAGAGCCCCTCTCTCCCCCCTCCCTCTGAACTGCCATTCCAGAGGCCCCCCTCCTGGCCAGACACTCACTTCTCGATGTCACTATTCTTGCAGGTCTTCTGCATGGCTTCCTGTTTGCTGCTCTCACCGTTGCTGGTAGATGGCATCTCTGCTGGGACAGAGGGGCAACTCATACTCTGGCCAGACTGGGCAGCACAGGTGAGGGGCTGGGCTTGAGTCAGTCACCACCACCCAAAGAGGTCTCCTCTACCCATTAATTACTCCTGTGGTGGGTCAGGACTTACCGTCACTGGCCCATTTAGAGAACTCGGGCGTGATGCGTGTGCTGGGAGGGCCGCCACTAGGGAAAGGAGAAGAAAAGAACAAAGTGAGCTCTAAAGGCAGGTGGGAGAGCCCTGAGAGTGGGTACTAGGCTGACCCTTGCCTCAGGACTTCCCACCCCTCTATCCCACCCACCCAAGCCTGTGCCCACACTTGCTTTAGGACTGCACCCCGGAGTGCCTCTCTCTCCTTGGCTTCACCAGGCTCCTCGCCTGTGCAGGGGATGACGTCAGCTTCTGTGTATCTGGCATGGTGGTCAAGGACAACAGATCCTAGTTTACAGTAGGCCATGAAGGTTGAATCCTAGTTAAAGCTCAGACACTGACCCCAAAGGTGGGGGGGGGGGGTGGATGGTATGGGCAAGTACCAGAGGTGCTGGCTACTTTTTAAATTCCGTTTGACCTGTCCCACCAGCCCCACCTTGTCCCACAGTGCCCCAAGGATACTGTGGCTTCCCATACTCCAGAGTGTCATCCCCATCCACATCCAGGTCAGCATCACTGTCCGGATTCTCCTTGCCGCTGCACATGACGAAGCCAGAGCCTGTGGGAAGCAGGACGTGAGGAGGGCCAGGGGCCAGCAAGACTAGGCCAAGAGTGCCCTTTCTGTTCTCCCTAGGTAGGGGTCAGGTTTTGGGCCAGGTAAGGCTCAGAAATTTGGGCCTGGAACATAGAAAGCCAATTACTTAGGTACTCGTGGCTCTGACATTCCAATCCCTTTCACTTTGCGTACCTCATCCTTCTCTGCCACTTCCTGCTGCTCCTAGTGGTCTCTGCTCATAAACTAGACCATTCATACACTATGTTAGGTCCTCAGGAGACACCCAAGCTAGCCCTGCTGCCCACCTGTCTTCTAGGTCTAGGAAGAGCAGGAAGAAGACACAGAAATTCAGGTCTACAAGGCTATCCCCAACCAGGACCTGGGCATCCCCCTGTGTCCCATGGTCCAGCCTGACAGTCCATCAGAGGGAAGAGCAAACTGGCTAGGGCCAGTCAGAGGCACACAGCAAGACCCCCAGCCAATGTCCTGATTTTGGCCGCCAGGTCCTTGCCAGCAAAAACACCAGGCAGCTGTTCAAATATTTGGTGTCTGAAGCGCCTGACATTAATTATTCATCTCCACCTCACTCAGCCCAGATTCCTGGACAAGTGCAGTTATAAAGGGATTAGGAAGGGACAGATGAGGGAGGAAGGCACGCACACCTGCTTCTGAAAGCAACCCATGAAGACAAGCAGGCTGGGTGGACACAGGGCCTTTGGCCAGGCAGGTGGCTGTCCCTACCAAGGTGTGCTTGGCCTAGCCACTGGTAGACCCCTGGCCAATGGGGAGGGGGAGAGCTGCTGAAGTCACATTAGGCCCCCTTACCTGCTATGTGCTCTGACACCCAGGACCACCCTTCCTGATGGCCAGGGTCAGGGGCCACAAAGCCAATTGCTTCTCCCTCCCTGCCTCTGACTCCTCTCAGTGGACTGAGACCATACCCTATTGGCCAGCATAGCAACCGTGCCAGGACAGAGAGAGATGAAAACGATGGAATCTGTGGCAAGTAGAAGCAGCAAGGAAATCATCAAAGAGATGAGGAAGCAGCTCAGGGTTCTGTCTGATAATCTCATAAATTTCTTCTTATCCATTCTTTCCACTCTCATCAGGATGACAATCTTGTAACGGATCCTCTAGCCTCTTGTCTATTCCTTTATCCTGCTTACCATATGGCTCTGACCATTCCTTTCCCAGCTCCAAAACCAGCTATGGCTTCCCACTGCATACAAAATCTTCTCAGCCAGATCCGTCAAGATGTGGATGCACCTACTTCTCCACCTTTGCTCTTTTTCTCATTTTACTCCATAAGCCAGATGCCTACAGATAGGCTATTTACTGCTCTTCAGAAAACCCTGTATATCCTATTCTTGAGACTTTAGCTTATGCTGTTCACTCCATGTGGAACGTTCTCCATCTTTCAAGTCCATTTCCAAAGCATTTTCTTCCTGATCTTTCTTCTCCCATCTACACCTCTGGTCTCTGGTCTCACAAAGGCTCCATCCATCCCAAAGGCAAACAGCACAAGGGAAAGAGAGAAGCTAGGCACTGCCTAGGCTCCACCCCTCCCCGACAATCCTCATTTCCCCCTCTACACTGAGGCATCAACAAACTCGAGGCAGCAGGCAGGTCAGCAGCAGGGCCATTAAGCTGAGAAAACACCAAGTTACAGCTCTGTCTCCTGTTCACAGCCAGGTGTCCTGACAAGCAATTCCCTCCTTGTGGGTGAGTGGCACCTCTATAAACCCTCTGACAGTTTGGGAGACAAACTCTGCCATCAATCAGAATGTAGCTATCAGGTTCACTTACAGCCTGTGCCCCCGAACCCTGCCAACGCCCCCGCCCCCACGTACATGCAGCTCAGCAGTCAGCCTCCCATCTTTGCCTCAGCCTGGCCCTGCCCAGCCCTGCCTGGTAAGTGGACAAAAAGGAAAGCAAAGAATCCATGGCAAAGCTGATAAAACAGGGTACCCCAAAGATGCCAGGAAAGGTCCCAGTTTCTCAACACAGAAAGTAGCCCTATGGCCTGAAGTCCTCTCCTCTGACAGGCCTAGAACAGGACTCATACTCCAGCAGACCATAGCTACTGTGCTTTCCCCAACCCTACATGTTTGCTCGTGTTCCTGTGCTTTTGTACATCTTATTACCTCTTCTCCCTCCTGGTCTACAAAACAAATGCCTGCTTATTCTGCAAGTCTGACCTAGCTCAACCACGCTTCCTGCTAGGAACTCACAGTGCCTATATGCATAGCTGCTCCAGAAATACTTCCGCAATGAACTCACCTCAGGAATATTCTTTCAGCCTTTACTGAGCTCATCCTCTGCCTGGGTTGGCATTGGAGACAAAGAATTTCAAGATGTGATCCCCACCCTCAAGGTGCTCAGTGTGGAGACTTCCCCAGGTATTTCTATACAGATAGGTGTCCTTTCCTTGGTGTCCACATGGACTCCTATGGAACTCCAAAGTCATTACATGTATTGTCATGGTCCCTCACCGACTGAAAGCCCAGGTCTGACTCACTACTGTGATCTCAGCACCATCCAGCAGAGCTGGCCAGGCCCAGAGCAGGTGCTATACAAGACACCCCAGCAGAAATGACTAACCACTGATGATACTGTTCTACTAAGTGCTGAGAGCCCTGCGTCAGAAAGGAGGCTGAGGTGTGAAGCCACTCAGGATACAACCTTCCCTATCAGCTTCCCCCAGCTGGGTGGTAACCTCCTGCTCCTCTGACCAGCCAGGCAGGACAGAGAGCATGGCACATCTTATCTGCCAAGGAAAAGGCCTGTCTCTGGTCTGAGCAGTTCATTCTGACCCTGACCCCATCCTGCAGTGGAGACAGATGTTGGGAACTTCTTCCTACCCCCACAGGTGTTCAGAACGGGCTGCCACTGCCAATTTCCCTCTTATGCTGCCCCAGCCTGCTCCAACCTCCTTCCCAGCACATTAAACTTTATTTTCTTAATGAAATGTCACTTGCTGACTTCTGGCAGAATCATAATAAAAAGAAACGGCCATAAAGCCATTTTACGCAGACAGCGCCCCCACCAGCTTGCCCCCCCCTTCCCTGGTTTGAGAGGAAAGCTCCACAGTCATTTTATGTTCTCAGCTGCTGGCACATCCCAAGCCAGTACTCAGAGGCAAGATGGCACACAGAGCTCCTTTCCAAGCCTCTGGCTCCTGTTCTGTATAGCTCTGGGGATAACAAGCAAGCTGCCACTCCTGCTGCTGCTATCCAGGGAAGAGACTCAGCTCCCTGGACCTCCAAGATGACCTGGAGTACCCTTTAGTCAGCAGGGGAGGCCCCTTGCTATGGCTCAGCCCCACCTAAAGTAGCACAATGTGTTGGGCTGCTGTCTATAAGCAAACTGAGCCTGATGGTCAATGACACTCAGCAGAGTGGGTTCTGGGAGGGTGGGCAGTGTGAAAAAATCCCTTCCCTGCAAATGAATACTTAGCAACAGAGAAAAAGAGGATTCGGTACAGAAATGATAAGCAAGTCTAAATTTTATAAAAATGACCCCTCTCCCATAAACTCATTTCTTCCTGGCTCATTGAGGAGAAGAAAAAAAAAAAATCAGTGTTAATTTAATCAATTGATTAGGTGATCGATTGAGAAACTGGAGATGCCCGTTTACTGGGGGCACTAACGTCCTGGAACCTGAAACCACAAAAAAAAAGGAGCCATCAATTTCCTCACCTGCTGCTCCTAACAAAACCAGGGCCCAGGGAGAAAGGAAAGTCTTGGGGCCCTCCAGAGGCTGTGCTCTTGTGGCGGGGGCGGGGGGGTTGTGTGTGTGGGGAGGAGACAGGGGCAGCAGCTTCCGGAGAGTTTTACACTGGAATTAGTTACAGATGCAGTTACGGTGTCTTGTGTAAACGCCATCGATTGGGGAGCTGACAGTCTGGGGAGCTGCGATGCGGGACAATCAATCGGCCTGCAGTGTCACCTGCCACCTCGCTGAACAGTTGACAATGCAATTATCCAGTGTGGAGGCAGGGAGTTGGCGTGTGTCAAACGCACTTAGCCACTTTCCGGGCCTCCTCAATAACGCGTTTCACTGCCTCACGTCAGGAGAGACGCAGAGAGACAGACGCCGTTTAAAACCATTGATACTTGCTCCTTCTGCTTGCACTCCCTCTGTCCCAGCTTAACAATTGTGTTCCAAAAGGCGATTAAATCCCCATCAGTTGCCACAGGGGACAGAGGTGCCCTGCTCTTTGCCACCTCTTCTCACCCCTCCCACCAGGCGACAGTTATAACTAAAGGTGGTAGGGAGCTGGAAGGCAGCAGCCCTAACCCTCTCCATATCAAGACTGCCTCCAGCAGTTGGCTGTTCCAACACCTGTCACTGACCAGACAAGGCAGCACGGCTGCACTGGGGAACATTTTTAGCAGCTGGGGCTCCCACTTTCTGGGAACTAACATGCCAAAGGGAGCAGGGGCTAGGGGAAGGCCTACTTCTCTGTGCCTTTGGACTCACAAAACCTCTCATTCCCTGACTCAGAATCTCGTGAAGTTTTAGCAAGCAACAGCCAGTTAAAAAATCTGTGCCACAGCTACCCTGCCTGTCCTCTCCATGAAATCTCATCCCAGACTACTTGGAAGCAGCCTAAATCCAAGACAGGAACCTGAGAAAGATGCAGTCCCAAGGCTAGGATCTGGGCAGGGCAGAGGCCTGAAGAGCAGTTCTCTTAGTCCCCATAGTCTCCCTCCCCCCCACCGGTTTGCTTCAAAGGGGCTCAGTGCTGGATTCTAGTAATGTGTTTCCCCGCCAGGGCTCAGAGAGACAGCTGCAGCACCTTCTATTTCCTGTGCAGCCTCCTGGGAAATTTTTCCATCTTGCCACTCTTGTGCCTGCCACATCACGGTCACCTTATCTGAAATCAACCATTCCTATGTCCTCTCTCCAGCCTGTCCACTCCAGATATGATGGGCTCCAGGCTCCCCAAATCCAGCTGGGTGAACTTTCACTGGCAACCAATCCAGGGGAGGGATCAAAGCTCAACATGAGTCTCTTCTCTAGGACCCAGGACTGGAGACAGAAAATGAGGAAAGGTGTGGTTCGTCTGTCACATACCTTCTTGACTACAGATTAGAGTACGTTTGTCCTCAAGGGCTGTATAATTAGGTTTTCCCTGGGGCCTGCTACTCTAGCCCAGAGGCTTCTTGCTCTGCTCAGGGCTGGCATGGTGCCCCAGAAGAGTATCTTTTACTCCTAGCTGCTGAACTCTCTCAGGGGAATGTTGGTGAAGCACTAGGCCCTGTGCCACCCTCTATGCAACTATAATGCTGGGTGGGAGGAAACAGCAGTAGCAGGTTAGCAAACCTAAGGTACTGAGAGGTCCAACAGCTTAGGCACACAGTCCAGAATTTCTGAGAACTAAGAAGGCCACAGTATTTCCTAGACACTGAAAGTTTTAGGTCTTCCAACCTACTCTCTTGAAATCTTTATTTTCTTTAGCCTCTTAAAGATCTATGTCCAGCTGGACCTATCTTGGTGCTTACCTGTTCTGTCTGGTCCTTCATTTTGTTCTAAAGTCCCAATGCCAAACACTCCTGGGCCTGAGCTATCCGGTCTTGCCCTCAATAGCCATAGGTCCAACTGCAAGGCCCGTTCCCCTCAGTCAAGTGTCTCCACCAAAACTCTCGCTTGTTCACTGGCTCCACAGCAGATTATGTTCAAGGTAACAGATCTGCTCCATCAAACCAGTTCCCAGTGGGCCTGGTGGGAAGCTTTGCTGAGGATGACGAAGGGGCCCTGGTCTGGGGGAAGGAATAGGGGATGATCGGATACAGGAACTTATCTGCAATTCTTCAATTCTTTCATATCTAACAAGGACAGCAATCTCTGTTCTGTCAGCACGCACAGCGCAGCTTAAATGGGCCTCACTGCTCGCCCGCTCATCCTGCCTCTGCTCCCTCTCTCTGAAGTCGGCTGGGCAGCTTCTTCAGCCGGCGTTATCACTCCCTCTAACCGGTCTTGGCAGGCAATCTAATTCCTCCTGAAAAGGTCACCGCCATTTTAACTGCCTTTCAATCACATTAAGCACGCGCTGCCCGGCTTGCGGCCCGGCCCGCCCGGCGGGCGATCAATGCACCACACTGACACCAGCCCGCCTGGCGGGGCCACACCCAACCCCCCAAGAGTTGGGGCCTACCAGTCCTGGCCAGGGAGTGTAGACTGACAGATGGCCAGTTTCTGCAGACAGGGTTTCAGGGGGCAGAGGCAGTCGGGATCAACCAGGGCCTCCTTTGATGCCCCCCCCACTGAGGAGCCTCAGCCTCCTCTGCTCCACTGTGCCCCGCTCTCTGCCTCGTGGCCCCCGCTGATCTTGCTGTAAAACAGCCTTTCAAGTCTGCCTGTCTTTTGACTGCACTAAGCTGTTTAAGAGGCAGCAGCGGCTTCTATCAGGCAAGCTGGAACCATTCTCTGCAGATAAAGGCACCTCCGGCCCTGCTCCCTCTTCAAGCCTCACTCTCATTCTCGCTCTCCAAATCGCTCAAAGAAAAGCCCCCTTTGAACTCCCCTCAGGAATTCTTGAAAGGAACAACCTCATAGTGTAAACACTCAGGGAAAACTGACACCCGCCCAGGGCCTAAGAGCACCGCACACCGGCTCTGCAAGTGCATCCCAGCGCGGGGAAATACTGTCAAATCAGCAGGCCTTATGCAGCTTTATCCCCTGTAAGCCTTGTCTGGTGCCCAGAAACCATCAGGTCCAGATCTGTGCCAAGAAACCTAAGAAGTTGCCACAGTAATAGAAGGCGTGAGTATTTCCAGCTGCCAACAGAGCGAACCCAGAGCAGCATCCTGCAATTGACCCTGCATGGGCTGTCACCAGACACCTGCGTGTACCATTCCCAGGATCCTGGTCTTTGCTCCTCATCTTCTCAGGGCCTCAGGCACTCTAAAACTCTGGGACAGGACAACAGCGAAGTGGCAAATGAACTCTCCACTCAGGCTCGGGCAATGGTTTGGGCTGATTTACCTTCCTGATTTACACTCTGGCTTGCTTCAAATGCTTGGAGAATGAGAGAAACCCAGAAGCATAATGCCCCACCTGGGCTTGCCCCCCTTCACGTATCCAGTCTGCACTGCACAGCACTATGGAGACCACTCCTCAAAACCAGCCCATGCAGCAAAGCCCCCATAAGTCAGACACCCTCTTCCCAGCTGCTGTGAGATTCCCCGGGGACCAAACACACCAGGACTCCCAAGGGTGTTGCCCAGAGAATTGGAGGCAGATGGGAAGCAGATTGGTTCACTTAATGATTGTAAGGTGCAGAGCCAGCTGTGCTTGTGCACAGAGAGCCGGAGGCCAGGAGGCAAACTGCTTCCCTTTCCTCCTGCCCAAAGCAGAGGAGTCTGACAAGAGGACACGACCCTGGGCATCCAACCTGTGTACTGTTTGACCTGGTGAGGGGTGGGAGACTTCCACTGAGCGAAGTCATATCCCTCCAAGGAGCTGGGAGGGTAATGGAGCTGTGCAAAGCCCTGTAGACCCCTCTGCAGCAACTGGGGAGCCCAAGGGAAGCAAGGAGCAGCTGGGCCCAGGCCCCTCTTGCTTCAGGGCAGAGGGCACCCAGGGAGAAGGGATGGGATCAGAGCTAAAATTAGATTCACCAATGAAGCTCAGGGGAGGTCAAATTTTGCCATAACTCACTCTCTCCTCTGTAACTGATTTCCCTGACGTGGGGTTGAGGAGGAGGAGGAAAATCCAATGTGTTTGCCTGGAAGCCCTGAGGGCCCCCAGTGCTGGAGGTGTACAGCAGGTTGCTGGATTCTCATTTATCAGCCTTAAGAGGGATGGAGTGATAAATGCATAACCGTCCCTTTAATATTTTATGCAGGTGCTAACGCGGCTTGGCTGTCACCTTCAATGCATCACCCGAGGCTGAGAGCCCCCCTCGTCATTCCTAGCTTGCAGCCTCACAATTCCATTTCCCCACCCAAATACATCCATTTTAATATGCACATCACAGGCAGGCAGCACGGTCACAAAGGAGCCCCGCCAGCAGCAGTTCCCACGTGGTGGAACGGATGACCAGCCACCAGCCCTGGCCTCTTGGCTCCCAACAGATGGATACCCCGCAGAGGCCTGGCCACCAGAATGCCACTGCTTATGTGTCAGCTGCTTGTACCTCGGAAACCACCTTCCAGGAGAGTGGTGGCCCGTATCCGCTTCTGCCCGCACCACTCATATTCCTCAAAGCGGTTGCTATTCTCATGCTCGATGTCCACAGCATCGTCCTCAGCCACACAGGAGCCTTCCCTCTGTGAAGAGCAGAGTAGGATCATGTGGGTCCCAGGCCACCACTACCTGCTCCCCAGGGTCTACGAGGAGGGCATAGCCCTAACCTCCAGCTTTGGTGAGCCAGGTGGGCCTCCAGATCTAGGGTCCCTTTCACATAAACCAATCTGGAGGTCGAAGACCTGGGCCTCTTCCCAATTATTTTCCATTGGAGCCCCAGGGGAGGAGCGGAAGAGTGAAAGCAAAGGAAGAGGGCAAAGAACAGAGAGGAAAAAGCTGCTGAGACCACATGGAGACCCCAACACAGCCCATAAATCTGGGGGTAGTCAGCAGCTAGTGTAGGGGAAGGGAGGGAGGAAGGGGTGAAGAGGTAGGTAGTGATGGCCCCTCTACCTTAGAAAGGCAATGCTCCACATGCCTACTCATCTCCTGCTCCGATCCTGCCAGGGGGCGGTTGCACAGGGGACATACCTGCCCTTCATCTTGCTTCCTCCGTTTCATTTTCCCAATCCGAGCTGCATGGAGAAACCGAAAACAAAGCACAGAACAGGCAAACGGTCACTGTAGCTCCCCTGGTCCCAGTGGAGCTGACACATCCTGACCCCTTGCCAGCCATTAGCCCTTTTGTTCAGTGCCTGATCTGGTCCTCATTATGCAGCGCCTTCTGCTCCTTTGGGGACCGAGCCTTGCCAAGAGCACCTGGGGAGGAGGCTGGTGGTAGGCCAGTGAAGTGTCCACTCTGGCCACAGCTGGCTCAAGTTCAATCCATACTTCCCTACCTGCAGCCTTCAGTAAGTCCAGTGAGCAAAGACATTCCAAGTTGCTAGATATCTGCCCAGAAACCCAAGACCATGGGCTCTCTTAAAGAACATCTCTTGGCTAGAACCCAAGGTCTCTCCAGGGGCCTGATTTGGCCTGCTGTTCACTCATCACCCTTTTTTTTGTTCCAGGGCCAAGGGCCCTGAGGTACAGCCCTTAGTATCCTACCTAGAATCCCTCAGGAAGATTTTCTCTCATGTCCAGGTACCATTAAAAAAAAAAAAAAAAAATATATATATATATATATATATGATGCGTTATGAATTTGCATATCATCTTTGTGCAGGAGTCATACTAATCTTCTCTGTATCATTCCAATTTTAGTATATGTGCTGCTGAAATAAGCACTCCACTGGTCCCATTTTACAGAAGAGGAGACTGAGGCCTAGTCATACAGGTATAGAGGATCTGAATCAGAGAGCCCACAGTACTTTGAGAGGGCAGCCTTTACTGTGCCTACCCAAACCTGTTCTATCATTTCTAATCAGTGCAGGGGGCTGGCAGGCCCCTGAGGCAGACGGCTGCTTGCCACGCTGTCCCGCAGGGGGCTCAATTCCAAAGTGCACACTGCAAGCCCACAGCACTGCTAATTAATGCTGAGAGATGCAATCATTTCTAATTAGCTCACTAATCCCTCTCTGCAGCCCTCCTGTCACTGAAGCAGGAAGGGGTCAAAACAAGGGACTGCCCCCTCCCCCTGCAATAGCAGAAGTAGAGCTAGCCACTCTGAGACCAGAGGGATTGGAGTGGCAAGACAATCGGGGAGAAAAATGTTCCCCATTGCAGGGCCAGGAAAAACTTTCTCATGGATATTGATCCTGGTGGGAAACTCATGAATGCAGTTTAGGTGGGGGGGACACAGGTGAAAGGTGATGTTACAATTTAGAGCTTCAGCTGTGTATCAGGCTCAGCATCAAATACCTTACACAAAGTAGCTCATTTAATTCTACATTCAACCTGAAGCAAGGCTGTATTATCCATTTTAACAGAAGAAACTCAAGGCTCAGCGAGAACTAGATACTTGTCCAAGTAGCTAAAAAGTGGCAAAGGCAGGATAAGAAATCAGGCCTGACTCCATAGGTCAGAATGCTCTCCTGTCCTAAGAATCTCCCCACTGACTGATAGCAGCAACAAAGACTGATCCGTGAGTGTGCCAGGGCAGCAAGAACATGCACTTGGGGACCTAGCTCTTGCCTATTGAGAGTCTGAGGCAGGGAGCTATTCCAACTCCAAACGAGTAACTCTAGAAAGACCTAAACCAACAGGAAAGCCATCATCCCACCAGGGTTGGCATGAAGTTTGAGACATCTTGGTCAGTAGCCTGGCCCTTATCTTCAACTTCCTGTGCTCTTACCCAGGAGAGGTGACTATGTTCCAGTGTCGTCCTTGATTTTGTGGACAACGATCTAGATCCCCTCACCCTGACTGTCCTAACGCTTGGAATTTCAGACTTGAGTGACCTTGGCACCCTACAGCCATGGCTGGGATGGAGAAGGAATTCTAGATATCAGAAAGGCAAGGGGCCCTGGTGGTTCTTGAAGTCTGTATTGAGCAGTGTGCCAATACAAAGGGCCTATCATAGACACTGATGACTGAATAAAGAAATGAATCTTACAGAATTGCCAAGGAGAGCGTGATACTGGACACTGTTCTTGCCCAAGCCACCCAGGACAGAAGATCCCTTGTAATCCCAGGAAAGCACCCTGTTGGGGTTAGACAACACCTGAAAATTCTCAAGGCATTGCCTTGCTGATGAAGGAACTCACCATTCACCTTCTAAATCCTGAACTAAGCTTACTAAAATGTAGGTAGGGAAAGGTCTGTATTTGCTTAAGGAGGGAACACGGCACGGTCACAGAAGCACAAGCTTTGAAGGTAAACTTCAGTTTAAATCATGGTTCAGTTACATCCCAGCTGTGTGTTTTTAAACAAATCACCTTCCCCTCTCCCAGCCTCAGTTTCCTTATCTACAAAATGTGTTACCACTTTCCTCTCAGAAGTGTTGTGATAATGATGCTCAACATGGGGTCAGCCCATAATGAATGCTTTCCCGTTCCCCGATTGGAGTTCAGCCAGGCAGCAGAAACCAAGTGGCAGGAGCTGGCCAGAGACCCTAAAGCCCCTTACAGCTAACACCCAGATATACCACACCCATGTCAGCACAAAAAGCTAGGATCATCCAATTGTGTTCAGCAAACGGCAATGCTCCAGAGGTTTGAATCCAAAAGGGGGGCGCCAGGTAGTGCATACACGACGTGCTTTCAGAGAAGGCCTCTAAGAGCTGTCGAGCCCACGCTGATCACCTTTGTGAAATGTGGGCCGACTGATAACTCAAAGAGCCCTGGGATGAGTTAGTTCCTGTTGCCGTGGGAACTCCAGATCTCACTGCATTGTCAAGTCTCAGCAGAGAGGCTGTATTCACACTACTGGGCACTGATTAAAAACTGGAAGAAAAACATTCTCAGCGCCCTGCCGGCTTGTACAGTGAGGTCCCAGCAGTTTGCAAATTCAAAGCTGAGCTCCCGAGTGGAATTGTGTAGCTTGTTCCTCATTCTCTGGTACTTATTGCCCGCCAGGGTTCTTGAAGGCCTTCAGAGAGGCGTGGGCAAGAGCTGGAACCATAACCTCCATTAGACAGACGGGGAAACTGAGGGCGGCCACCTTGGTTAGCACATTCTCAGGCGCTGTGACTGCGACGAAGCCAAATGGCCCCAAAGTCGAAGAGACCCAGGCAAGCCCGGAGCTTCAGGCAGTGAGGAAGGGAGGAGGCCGGGGGTGGGGCGGAGGGAGGGGCCGGGCAAGACTCACCATTCAGTCGGGTCTGCCGGTTGGCTCGCACTCGCAGGAAGGTCTGGGAGAAGATCCCGGGCAGAAGCAAAAAAAAGAGAGCGTCAGGCGCGGCCTGGAGCCCTGACCCCCGCCCCAGCACTGGACCCCGGTCCCGGGCTGCCCCGCCCCAAACAGCCCGTAAACAAACCTACTTCCTCCCTCCCGCCGGCCCCCCTGCTCCGCCGGCCGTTCCGGGCCCTCGGCATAGCCGCCGGGGGATGCTCTAACGGGACCCCGTGGCCGCCGCACGGTGCCGCCCCAACCCCGGTCTCCGGCGCTCCGGGCCCTGCGGCCGCCCGGCCGGCGAGGGCGGCGATGCGGGCGGATTCCCCCCGGCTGCCCGGCGGCGGCGGCACCTCAGCTCCCACCGGCGGCGGCGGCCATGTTGGCCCTGATCACGTGACCCGCTGCCGTCGCGCGCCGGGGTGAAAGTTCACGATGGGGAGGTGGGGGGGGGGCGGCCGGACCAGGACCAGGAAACAGCTGCTCTTACTCCGGTAGTAACCGGTTGGGGCCGCTCTGGGGTCCCTCCCACCGTACCCAAAGCCTACCAGCCCCAGTTTTAGACTCTGCCGGGTCCTCCCACCCCGCTCCACGCGCCCTGCCGCGCGGAGCTCCTTCAGTCCCAGAGCCTCAGCCCGGACCCCGGCCCTGCTGCTGGCGCTTTGCTGGGGAGGAGGCGTTTGGATTCCGGGTCGTCTCTGGGCGGTCCCACCGAATGTCCCAAATTGTCCCGCCCCAACCCCTAGCCTTTCTGTAGTTCCGTTGTTAGAGGATTCCCATTTCTGCTGTCTGCTGGACAGCCCCTGGAGCTTTCACCGGTACCTCACACCCACACAGCCAACGTGGAACTCAACATCCCACAAGCAGCCGCTTTTCTCCTGGGTGCTCAGTTTGTAAGGGGATACCACCATCCACTCAGGTGTGCCCACACCAGAAACTTTAGAGGTGTCGTTGGCCCCACCCTCCTTCATTCCTCATACTCAGTCCAACTTTAGATTCCAGGAAGTCTGTCTTTAAAGGTCTCTTAAATGTTCTCATCTCCACTTCTGCACATTTCCTACTCATCTTTCCAGACCTAAGCAAAAATACCTTTCTTTTCCTCCCGTTAGAGTGCTTCCATCTCTACCCTCATTATAGCTCATACAAATTTGTACGGTGGGCTGACCACTCTAGGGTTGGGGTCATGTCTGAGTCATACAGGTGAACCCAGAGTCCCCGCATAGCGCTTGGCATAGGCAAGACATCCCTGAGTGTTTCTTCTATGACTATACCTGTCTTGGATGTCACTGCTCTGGTTCATAATCGTGTGAGCTTTCAAAATTTGTCTCTCACCTGGCCTTCTGGTCTTCAGTTTCTCTCCCTGACCATACTTCAGACAACAGACAGTGTAATCTTTGTATCATGCAAAATCGACCCTCTCTCCCTCTCCCCCACTTCTTTAAATCCTTCAGTGGTTCTCCACCTAGAAGATCTGTAGCATGGCACACAGGCCTTATTTGACCTGTTTTTGTCTTCAGACTCTTCTACCACTCTTGCGCTCTCCCTTTGCCATCTCCACACTCAGCTCTATAGAGCTAACTATATATAGTTCTTTGAGCACTTCATGCTCTGGACTCTGGGCTAGATTATCCTGCTGCTTCCATATCCCCTGCTTGGTTAACGGTTGTTCCTCCCTTCAGGACTCTGAGAAAGCTTCACTTCCCGCCCCCCCCCCCCAAGGTTGGGTTTGTTGCCTCCTCTGAGTTTTCACCATCCCTTGGCTTCCCTCTGATCTTGCATATGGTGATTACCTATGTGTCCCTTCTACGGTGGGGGCTGGTGGGGGCTGGTGGTGGTGGTGGTGATGATATCTCTCCAGTATTCAGTCACCCAGCACAGGGCATAGCATGCAGGAGATATCAGTGGTAATGGGAGAAGGATATTTACAATGGAACTCCCTGAGCCCAGTGCAGGGCTGGGAAACAGTTTAGGATTCAGGGCCAGACAGATCCCAGTTCAAATTCTGACTCTCTTCCTCATAATTTATGTGTTCCCCAAAAAGTCACACCCCCTCTCCAGGCCTGTTTCCTTAGCAGTAAATGGGGGACAATGAATCCTAGCCTTCACAGTTGCTATGAGGATAAAATGAGGAATGGTTAAGAGGGCTAACCCAGCAGGGGCTAAGTAAATGGGAATCCAAACCAGAAACCAACACTCCCTGCTTTCAAGACCTACACTGATGGTTTTTTTTTAAAAAAATCCAACATAACCAACCAACTAGTACATGCCAGGCATTGTGTAAAGATCAGGGGATGGGATATCCAGCTAGTCCCTGGGGTTTCCAGCTTTACCTCCTGCTAATTCCCCTTGGGTTTTACATGCTAACAAAAGTGAACTGCTAGCAAGTCCCCAAATACAT